ATATATCTTTATTGATTTCAGAGAGAGGGAGAGAGAGAGTTGAAACATCAATGATGAGAGAGTCATAGATCGGCTGCCTCCTGCATTCCCCTGACTAGGGATCAGGCCCGCAACCTGGGCATGTGCCCTGACCAGGAACTGAACCGTGATCTCCTGNCCGACTAGGGATCAGGCCCGCAACCTGGGCATGTGCCCTGACCAGGAACTGAACCGTGATCTCCTGGATCCTAGGTCGATCTCAACCAGTGAGCCACGCCCGGCTGGGCTGGAACTGCTGTTTTATAAATAAAAAACTTGAGGCTCAGAGAAAATGCAGGCTCTGGATCACTGAGCCGGAATGTGAACTCTGGTCTGCTCCATCTACCTCTCATCTTGTTCATCCCAACTGAAATAAACACTTTTCTAAAAAAAATTAAAAACAGCTTAAATACAAACCAGATATGTTCTATATTATACAGGGTATCCCCCAAAATGTATATACACTTTGAATGATTATAAAGTCAGTGTTTATTAACATACAATTCATTTTCAAAATTTAAAAAAATCTACAGAAATGAATAATTTTTTTTGGCAATGCTTGTTTTCAAACTGGTGACCGTTCTGGTCCAGGCACTGCTGATAACGTGAAGCAATGGAATTGCAAACATCAAGAATCATTTCATTCGGTATTTGTGTGCCCTCAATTTGTCAACTGTTGCCAGGTTTTGTACCATAAACTTTATCTTTTATGTATTCCCATAAAATAAAAAAAATCTAGTGGCACTTTAAGATAAATTTTCTTTGTTCAAAGCTTAGTCTTGCTTTATCCATTATTTCAAATCAGTTAAACCTGAAAAGGAGTAAAAATTAAGTGAGTTATCAGCTGTTAAAGTGTGTATACATTTTTTTGGGACACTATATATATATTTTTTCTTTTTTTTTTTCTATAGACTATATCTGGTTGATATATATTCTATTTCCCCAAATACTGGCACTGAAGCCCTGTCCCAAACCCCAGTAGCTCATTTGGCCAAGACAAGGCCACCCCACCTAGTCCCTTAACATTCAGCCTTCCTGACACAAACTACCTGACAGGCCAGCCTGGATGCTCCCAGATGCAGACACCGCCCTCCCACCAGCAGCCCAGACCTCCCAACACTGGCCCTAAAGGCTCTGTCCTGTTTTCTGCCTTTGATCCACCTTTGAATGGAGGCCAGGTCCCCCAGATGCCAAAGGCTCCCTTGTACCTCCATTACTGGATGAATGAAAGGAGGGTGTTGGCAAAAAGGCCAGAAATCCAAGTAAAAAAAAAAAATACAGGTTCCATCACCCTATCTGTCCTTTGACTATCCCTTGCCCACAGACCTGCCGTAATTCCTCTTGGCTGTCTCTTTTCTGGGACTGCAGACTTTGCTTTGGGTCTCCCCAAGTGAGCATTGGGGCAGCCTGAGTGTCCATCAGGTCCAGCCCCATGTCTTTCCTGTTATTTTTTTCTTCTTTTAATTACACGCAGCTAACTTGAAGAAATTCTGAAAAATTATTCCATCCCTTTAGTCTCAAACTCTGCAGCACAGTGTGCTGATGTCCAACAGCTTGGGTTTGCCCCAGCTCCACTGCACACTAACCTGAGATCCCAAATTGTTAACCCCTCAGGTCCTCAGTTTCCCCAACTACAGAATGGGAGAGGTGGGCCACGCCCATCTCTGTGGGTTTGCCAGGAGAGTGAAATGAGATAATGCAGGGGAAGCACCTTCCTTGGTGACTGGAAGCCCAATCTTGACTTGGAAAAAAAGAATGCATCATTTTTACGCTGCTCTGTCCACCAGAAGTTAAAACAAATGTTTTCTACATAACTACCTTCTTCCCAGTGATCATTTTTAATTGTGGCATAATATTCCATCAAGTAAACACACATGATGAACCTACTGATTCCCCACCTTCATGTGGGTGATGTTTTTGTTTCCTTGGAATTAATGCAGAAATTTCCAAGAGTGGGATTTTCAGGTCAGAGGGTCCAGACTTTTTGGACTCTGGCTATGAAAAGCCTCCTTCTAGCACCACACCCAGGAGGGAGAAGCTGGGAGAAGTCCCAAGGGCCCTTCCACTCCCTCGCCCTCCTGCCTGCCCCTCCCTTCCTACTTCCTCTGCCCTTATTCTGCCAGGAGAAAGTAGCAATGCCAGTTTAGGCTAATTCTGATATTAAAAGAAATAACTTTAGGCTGCAGGGCAAAAGTTTTAAAAAAATGACAACAAAAACAAGAAGTTAAACCAAAAAATGAGTTACAAAGCCGGAGCTCCTGAGCCACTTGGAGGGAGGAAAGGTGTGCAGCCTCTTTGTGCACAGCAAGAGCACGAAGGCAGGGACCAGGCCCTCTCCATGCAAGAGAAAATCGGAGCTGGTAGCCCATGGATGGAACACTGGCTGAGCCTTGGGCATAGTACTCAGTACTTAGGGGGCACGGCCTCACTTAATCCTCACAGTCCCAGTGAGTCAGTGACCCGTATGTCAGGGTCCACCACAGGCCCAAGGTCACACAGTGGTACCTGAGGAAGACAAGTTGTGGCCCTGAGCTATACCACCCAGGGCCCTCCTTGGGCCTCAGCACACACTGCCCTGCCCGGTTTAGGACCTGGCTAATAGGGCACTGTAGGTAAATAAATGGAGACTTGTTTTTTATCCACAGAGGTCTCTGGAACACTCTGGAAATAATGCAGGATTAGGACACCTTTGAATGAGGTAGCCCCTGGGTCATTCCCTTCACCCCCACAGCTGACAGGTTGTAGGGAGGCTCCAGACAGGCTCAGTAGCTCAGGCAGGCTCAGTAGCTCAGGCAGACAGGCCTTAATCTCCAGATGAAAACTTCTCTGCCTCAAATTCTGGGCTGGAAAGCTGACAGCTCTTGGCTGCACAGTGAGCAGGGCCTTGCTTCCTTCTCTGCCTTCCCTAGCCCATGCTTTCCACCCAGCTCTAAATTCAACATAGTCAAAACTGGTCATTTGTTTAGGTCTTGATTTTTACTACCGTGGGCATAGCAAACGGGTGAGCAAACCTCTCTGCCAGCCTGGATGAAGGGAGCGTTAGATTAGTTTGCACCCTGGGGCAATTATGGTCAATCTGTTTACTTCTGCTGCAGTCACGGGGATTAAGAAATGCCACTGAGGTGTACACATGTCAAAATCTATCAAACCGTATACTTAAATATCCACAGTTTATTGTATGCTAATTATATCTCAATAAAGTTGCTAAAAATAGAGGGAAAGGAAGCTGTTACAAAGACTAGGACATGTGCATGTAAAGTGTATAGCATAGTTCCTGTCGCATGGCAGATAATAAATCCTCAATAATAAATGTGATGATAGTGATGATGACGATTTATGACAAAGCTTTGGCACTTACCCAGGTCTCAAAAAAAAAAAAGAAAAGAAATGCAGTTGGGGCCTTCAGAGTAAGTAGGAAATCTGGGTAAACTGCCCAGTTTTGTAGATTTGTCCAGGAGAAAATGGTTTTAAATGACTCACCAGAGCTCATGGTGGTGACAGGATAAGTCTTCTGCAACTGGGGCTCTGAACTGCTCTGCAGAAAAACAAACACCACATAATGGAATCGATGAATGGCAGGGTCAAGATAAATCCCTGTGGTTCACATCGAAAATGAAAACAACACATACATCCTCGATAAAACAGAGCTGAGCCAGGAGTCAACTTGGCCAGGATTCTGGTTCTTGATCTGCTGCGTACTGACATGACCTTGGTTGGGCATATCACTCAACCTCCTCGGCCTCAGTTCTGTCATTCATAATTGGTTTCAATACTATCCGAGATCTTGTCCAACTCTAACATTTGATTAGAACCCTCAAGTTACATGAGTGCACATGGGTCAAGGAGAGGGTGAAGGAAAGAACCAAATTTTAGAGGAAAGGTAAAGTCACAATATTATTGGAGGTTAATAATAATAACAACAACAGCAGCAGCAGTGCCAATAAATATAGCTTATTAGGCACAAGGAAATGTTCTAGATGCTTTAAATATATTAATTCACTTGATCCCCACAATGACCCTACAAGGTAAGCACTAACATTGTATTAGTTCATGCAGACGAGGAAACCAAGGCACAGAGAGGTGAACAGCTTGCCTGCCAATGTGGCAGAGTTGCTAGAGGAACCCAGACAGCCTGACTTGGAAGGCCAGGCCCTTAGGCACTGCACTTACCCTTCACACTCAAATGGATAACCCTCTCAGTCAGTATGGTCTCATCCCCAGTCTGCAGTCACCACTGATCTGCCTTCTGTCACTACAGTTTCTTCTTGTCTAGAATTTGGTACCATAGTATATGTAACCTTCTGTACCTGGGTTCTCTCGCTTAGCATAGCCCAATTTAGCATTTAGTCACATATATGTGGGTCTATTTCTGGACCTCATTCTGTTCCACTGATCTGTCTTTATCCAATAACTCACTGTCTTGATTACTAAAGCATTATAGTAATTACTAGAATCAGGTAGTGTGAGTCTTTCAACTTCATTCTTTTTCAAAATCGCTTGGGCTCTTTGAGGTCCTTTGCATTTTCATATAAAGTTTAGAACCATCTTGTCGACTTCTACCAAAAACAAAAACAAAAGACTGCTGGAATTTTGACTGTGATCATGTTGAAACTACAGATTAATCTGGGGAAAATGAACATTTTAACAATGTTGAGTTTTCCAATTTATGAAACTAGACAATCTCCCCCTTTAGGCAGGACTTCTTTAATGTCTCCCAGCAGCGTTTTGTGGTGCTCAAAGCACAGGTCTTATACATATTCTGGATAGTAAGGTGTAGTTGAACACATCTGAAGGGCAAGTCTTCAGGATACTATTTCAAGTGTGGTCCATAAACCAGCAGCACTGGCATCAGCTGGGAGCTCATTAAAAATGCAGAAACTCTGACTCTACACCAACTGAATTAGAATCTGAATTTTAAAAAGATCACCAGCTGGTCCTTATGAACTTTAAAGTGTGAGAAGCAGCGATGTAGAGGGAACCAACTCCCAGGTTCATAAATTCTGTAATAAGAAGGTCAAGGTATGGTCTGAGGGTCTGCACAAGGAGACATGCTTTAGTTTCCTTTTCAACACAGGCACTTGTTTCCTTTCTGGGTGGCTGCCTTGCTCACTGTCCTTGGAATTGACCGAGTAGAATGCTCAGGGCAACAAGGAAATCACTCTAAGTCCTATGCAGCCCAACTCAGCAGTAGTTTTGCCTCTGTCACTGTCAATACACCTGAGACTATCTGTGACCTTCACCAGCCCCCTGGATCATTTTCTAAGTGGTGGAAACATTTGTTCTCTCAGTCAAGGAGCACAACCTTCGGTGTTCTGAATGCCCCAGTGGCTTCCAACTGTGGTTTGGTGATATATCAGTTTGCTACCCAGGACCAAAAGGGCTGTTGTGGTAGCATCCAAACATTTTCATTTAAAAAATAATTTTAGTAACCAATTTTATTATGTTAAGGTTTTATTTATTCAATTTTTGAAAGAGTATTGAAGAAATGTTATTGATTCAATCATGGAGCTATCTTAACAGAAAGTACTTTTATTCCTTTACAGTCCTTTTAACCTCTATCTATTTGCATAAATAGGATTTACATAGTTGTAACCATAATGTCTGGACAGTTTTGTGTTCTAACTTTTAAATTAAATATTTCATTCTACAGTCACTATATCCATTGCTTTAATGGTTGTATAATATTTTACAGTATTAACACTCTATAATTCATTTACCAATTTCCTCTGTATAGTTTAGTTTAATTCATGTTAATTTTACAAATAAGTACCTACTACAAGAGCATCCTTAGGCAGGAGAAGAGATGAATGGAAATGTCCTATGAGCCAAACACAAAGGATGCCTCACCTCACATGTGATTAGTAATCACTGTCATGTGTGGGTAGCCCTTTGTCATTTTATATTTCTCAATATAGATAACAGTGATTTCTAAGTGTCAGCCCCTTCTAACTTACAAACTAATCTGAAGTAGACACTGGTCAGGGATAATATCCAAAATACTAGCCATCATTTTGCCACAAATGTCCACCACCACAGTAGATGCAGCAAAAGTACTCTCTGGGAGGCCCCTCCCTGTGCCAGGTGCTACATGCAGTGGTTGGATTGTAAGAAGCCGGAAGGAGAATGGGCCCAGGGTGGTAGGACGCTATTTTGATATTTTAAGAACTAGTATGACAGTAGGTGACAATGACAATGCATAGGTGAGTACCAGTTCTGCATACAAAGACTTCTTGGGGAGTAGGTTCTCCTGTATGCTGTCACTTGGTGATTGATTGAATCTGCAGCAGGTGACACAAAGACGCAGTGGGCCATTTAAAATAAAAACTGCAGCAAGAATGGCAGTGGCAGCTGTGCCAAGGGTGGCGCCCAGGGTCCAGTCCTTGCCAGTGATGGCAACAGCAGTGACACCCTACCCAGACTATTCCAGGGCCTGATTTTGGCTCTGATTCCAGCGAACTCAGCCTCCTTGAATTCCTGCCCCTGTTCTAAGTGCCATTCTCCAGCCTCTCATAAACTCAGAACTACCTGAAATCTTGCCAATAAATCCCTTTTCAGTGTGAGTTGACCAGAGGTGGTTTCTGGTGGTTTGCAACCCAAGAACCTTGACCAGCAAAGATGAGGAGGAGAGTGTTGCTAAGGTTTCACTGGGAGAGGATAATCTGCATCCATCCCTCCTGCAGTAAGACTAGCCAGATCTGAATCCCACGTGGCTCAGCAAATGATTTCATCAGTGAGGATGCATCTGAGAAGCTGCACAAACTGAGCCTGACCAGAAGATCGCCAAGAGCTTTTTAAAAGTCATAATCCAGTCCCTGCTGTTTATTTGGACATAGTACAAGCTATTACAATCATATGTATAATGTGAGAGTTTATTTTACATAAAAACCTGTGACACTTAATATTTATTTTAAAACTAAGCTGTAAAGAGCTTGATTTGGTTGAGAACATGAAGGCACCTCTTTGGAATTTCTCCCACATGTCCCCTCCAAAGGAGGCAGGCACCTTTGGGGAAAAGCCAAAATGATGAACAGTGCCATCTAGTGGCAACACCGGACAGCGATTCCCTCAATGGGTTGCAGGAACCTACAGTGTCACAGCTTGGGTGGGCCAGTGAGGGTCCAGCCACCATTCCTCCCCTTGTGCCAAGGAACCTACTGTACTCGGTCAAAGCACCGCAGCATTGACACAGACATTCCACCAGAAGAACAAGATGTGAAGCAGCCAGGCTTGTCAAGAACGCATCGGCATAATTAACAGTTCTGCATGGTCCCTAACTCCACGACCCTATAATTCTGAGATGACACAGAGTGAATAATTACTAAAAAGCAAAAGTTATACTCCTGCTTCCAGCTGAAATAGGATCCAATAACTAAATATGGGTTTTTTGTTGGGGAAGGAAAGAAGGTCCTTATATGGGTGGTTCAGGGATATGTGACTAGGGAGGAACTGAGTTTGTCTGAAAAAGTGAGTTCAAGGTCCAGCAAAAGCTCTTGGAAGAGAATGAGCCTTCGGTTGACCTCTCAACACAGCAGGCTCTAGCTTCTCCTACGCACTGTGGTGTTTTGCCTCCACAAGCCACCTCCTCCCCCACCAAAGGTTGTAAGTTTCTGGAGCAGAGACACTATGTCATCCTCAGGACCACGCATACAGTGGGCGCTCAACCATGAACTTTGCCCTTATCTCTATTTAGCCTTCAGAACCTAACTTTGGAGTCTTATCTTCAAGATAACCAGACCCTCCTTAACTACACTGCAACTGCTTAAAAGGAAGCTGGCTCCCCACTCTGACCGAACCCTGGGTAGACTCGAGCTCTAAAACCCAATCTGGGACTTGATATATTTGCAGCTACTTCCAATGGCTTGAAAAGAACAGGGACAGCTCACAGAGCCTATTGCTTTAAACTTTGCTGACCCACCAGCAAAGCCATGCTTCTCTGACAGCTCAACCGCTTCTCAATCTCTATGAATGTCATTTCTGTCCAAATGCACTCTCTACATTGTTGGAGAAGGTCCAGGGGCTCCTCAGAAAGCCAGAAGGGATAACACCTCAAGTCGCTAACACTTCCCTGCAAGAGATGGAAGCTGGGATAAACTGGACCCTGATATTAACTTCAGCCTGGAATCCCGTAACACAGCTGGGGGCTCAGCACACAACAAACACAAGCTTTCTGTGAAAAGATCGATGCTTCTGGAGAGGGAGCAATAGGAAAGCACATCAGAAAGGCCACCCTGCACGCCCTCCCATTTCCTCCTGGAGTCCCTCCAACACAGTTTCCGTTCTAACCAATTATCTGAAATGGCCTTCAGAAAGGTTTCCAGCGCACACACAGGGCCAAGCCCAGTGAATTCCGCACTGATCAGGGCCTTGCTGACCTTTCCACTGAACTGAAGACAGTTAACTCCTTCCTCCTCCCACAAATGCGTCTGGTCCTGATTTCCAAGTGTCACTGTGGACCGGCTTACCCTGGGCCATGAGTACCCTCCCTCTAGAAAACAGCCTCTGTGGTTCTTCTAGGAGTTTATGAGCTAGA